TCTGAGTCGACTTGATTATGTTGTGTGGGATAAGCTTAGGGGGCATCAGGAGAAATTATTGCACTTGCCAAAGAATCAGCAGTGGAGGATCAACAGTCAATAAGAGAGGATCATTAGAACTGATTCAGACAGGGTCTCTGGGGATAAAATAGTTGGTCAGAGCAAGAAAATCAGTCTGCTCAAATATGCTGATAGCTAAGTGACAGAGCCTTCAACAGGGTGATTAGTAAGGTATACCTCACAAAGGGGGCTGGAACTAAATGATCCTTAAGGTCTTTTCCAGCCCAATCCCTTCTATGATTTTACGAAAAGGGGCTGCAACTTCATAAAAAGGGGATTCTGCTATTAATTACTAAAAAAAAAAAGAGGTCAGAAAAAGAAGGACTGAAGAAAAAAAGAGGAAGATGATAGCAGACAGTTTTTTGTTGTTTGTTTTCTTTTTTAAGTAATGAAAGTTACAGAGCTTTTATCATTATTTTATGGAAGAGAACAGGGACAGAGGAGAATATTTACGCGTTCTGTTTGCACCTTACTGTGAGCCCCAGTGCCCATAAATGTGCTCCTGAGGTATTGTGAAGGTTTAATGCCAGGCCTGGCTGAGGACCTAGGTGCAGCAAATGAGATAAGAGAAATAACAGCAAGGTGGTTCTGAAGTCCAACAGAGCAGTGAAAACACATGAGCTGATGTGCAGTCAGTTCAAACAGACCAGCCGCTCAGTGCATGTCCATCACAAAAAGAGTGGTTTGAACTTCATGACTATTTTCCAGTCGCAAGACACAAACCCGTTAAAGTACATCAGCTGACACAGAAGTGAGCTTATGTAGCTCCCAACAATTTCAGGTGGTGAAATGAATATATACATCCAGAGCAGGAGTATAATCTTGTGTCACGCGTATATTTGATCTAAAATAAATTGCAGTGAAACTTACACTAAGGAGGAATTCCAGAGTCAATATCCTCTCTTAAGACTGCTTCAAAGTATCCTCAAGATTTCCAGCACAATTATATCCAGACTTAGTAAAATGTCAGCTTCACTTGGTAGCTGACTTTTTTGTATATTGTCCCTGGAGTGGTAGCTTAAGACATCCCTTAGTATACTTCACCTGTCTGAAACACTTTCACATGTTCATAGGGCTAAATTAAACTGAAATTACTCTTCTTTTTATAATCCATAGTATAGCTCTTACATAATCCCTAATATAATTCTGAATAAAAATATGCCATCAAACAAGCTTTCAACATCTGCTCATTAAACTGTCTAAACTTAGTATGCAATATATTTTTCATTCTCTCAATTGTTTTCCTCAGATTTATCTTAATTCTATGCTAATGAGTACTAAATTAACAATTCTTCTGTGGTAAATAACACATTTAAAATCTCAAGTGAAAGGTTTAGATCTGGAAGTAAACTGACTATCTGCAGTATAGTAACGGCTGAGAAAATCTTTGAGAGGTTGTAGATATGTGAGAATGAATTTGCCCAAATTTATGCTTATAAATTTGAATTTGAAATAATATCATCTGAATAGAGATTAACTACTTAAAAGCACCACATTCACCAGGACTTCAAATTGGATTCTAGTAGAAGGGGTAAATGAAAAAAAAAGTCATCTGCCCTCCAAAATCCACTTTTTTCTTGTTTCAGGGTTATTTACTTACAACAAAATATACCCAGTGTCATTGGAAACCTGTCTTCCCTTCACACTATTATCTGAAGCACAGTGCAATGCCTAATTTGTGCCTCATTTGAACTTAGAGCTAAACCTGTGATTCATGGAACAAATTTTGTTCCTCCAAATTTGGTTACATCTTTGCACCCGTGCAGTCACTGTGAGATGGTCATTCTCTTTAAAGTGATCCTCAGCAGAGCCCTTAACTGGGCACAACCATCATGTGGGCCTTGCTGTTAAATGCTCACTTTACTCCTGAGCCTTGTCAGTACCTTGTCAAGGTACTGACAAGGCTCATTGGTGTCAAGGTGCTGACACCAGTGGAGGTCTAGAAGTAACTTTTTACATTTCTTTGGGCTTACGGTTCACACTGGACCTAAGCACTTCCAGTTCTGTTTCTAATTTATTCCAATTTTTATTAAGAAAGTACTATCTATACGCTAGTAAGCAAACAATACTGAAAAGGGATTCTGGCAAAATAATGTTGAGTGTTACATTTTATTTTTCAATGAGTTTTTTAGATTCTTGTTCTGAATTATAAGATATCTGAAGCAGTATTAAGCTAACAGTGCTAAGTAACTGTCTCGGAGGTATGAAACAATGAAAAACACAATGAATGTCTATTATTCATGCAGTATGGATGCTTCCTAAAAATAACTTAGATGCTTTCATTTTTACTTGATATTGCCTTTTTTTTCCTCTATTAAATAGTGCTTAAAAAACACAACTTCAGTCAATCAGTAAACAAGATCATTACTTCTAAGTGTTTCAGATTCTGAATCAAGGGTTTCATTTAATTTTCCAAGTGGAATAATGCATATAAATGAGGATGTCAAATTGCAAATAACCTGTATTAGAATGGCGTGTACAGTGCTTATGGTAAGTAACCAACATTATTGACTTCGCTTAGGGATTTAAAATGCTGAAAAACACTAGCAGAATAAATTTATTGGAAGAACGGAGATGTGCATCACTGTGTTAAAAATTTGAACTGAGAGTAAAATTATACAATAGTATTTTGTAATTCAGAAATATATATGCATAGATATACATATAGGTATATATGGATAATGCCAGTATTATTGATATAAATTTCCATAGGGACAAAAGAAAGCATAATGACTTTGATTTGAATGGCTATGTTGGGATTCATTATCAATACGTTAAAATACAAATTGTTGGCTACATCATGCCCCTGCTGAACTTTTTCCGTTAGTAGCTAGCAGCATTCAAGTCTTTCTTTTCACAGTTTTGAATGCTATTTACTTTTTCTTCCTTCTATAATCATAATTGTGGTGCTGTAAACCTTTCCAGAGATAGTGTCAAAATTCAAATGATTCATTTATAAATCCAAAGACTGTAGACTTGTATCTGTCAGTAGGAGTATTACCATGTAATTTAGCTATTTCTTGTATTTCATTTTGAGCAGCCAAGGCTGCCATGGTAAAGTGCCTCTCAGCATTTTCAAAATGGACTGGTTTTGAGGTCTTTCTGTAACCCAGAAGTATACTTGGTCTCATCTCAGAAACAGAGTTTTATGCATAAGAGTGCATCATACTTGTGCCATAAACAAGCTTAGACAGGAAAGATAGCATTGCTTGTAAGGATTTCATTTAATATTTTCAGCTGTAGATGCATGTGATCCCTGGATTTGTTTGTTGTTTGTCTTTTATGAGATTCTGTGTATCAAATACAACACATGCCAAAACCCAGTGGTGATATTCTTGCCAATATTAAAAAGCTCTTTAATGCCACGGGTTGTCTTATTGATTTCATTGAGACTATTTGCTGCGTAAAATGTTAATTGCAAGGAGTATATTACAATCTTGCCCTGAGTGGATAGAGGCTGCCTGCATAGGAATTCCATTTCACAAGTGTTTTCACTGCAGAGTCACCTTGGGTTGATATCTTGTCAGATTTCACAAATGCCACATACCCCTTACCTAGCAGCTGAGTGACACAACCTGGAGGGAAACCCAGGTTTCCCACTGGTGCTCTGGAGCAGAGGTGGGTGAATAGCCCCATTTGTATCTGGGGTAGGATAAAAGCAGATGATGCTTATGTTCCTTAAAGGTCTGCTTTAATTTCATTTTATTTTATTTAGAAATGAGTTATTAAACTCCACTTTCCCCAACTGACATAGTTAGATGCTGATCCAAGATCACCACTACACTCTTGAACTGGTGTGCATGGTTTCTGCTGCACTTTACTCTTTAGGTCACTAAGTTTGCCATGGAAAACATATTTTCTATCTACCTGTAAGAAGGTACAATACAGAAAGAAGCAGGGGATTTTGTGGGATGGAAAGTGTTATATAATGGCCCAGTCCTGCAATTGTTCCTTGAGGCTACGCTAGCGGCAAGTAGTAATGGGTCAATGCCTCCCTCTGGTTTTGAAAGCATTATTGGAAATTTTGCCTGAGTGGAAACTGTGCCATTAGGCCTTTGTGTCAGATGCTTTCTGTACACCTTTTCTATCAGGCAATGCTCATACTAAATAGTAATGTTATATCATTGCTGTCCATCTATGTTAAGCTATTTTATAAACCGCCCTAGTGAAATGAATAATCCTTTTCCCTGCTTTGCACAGCAGACATCATTTGTAGTCTAAGTTCACCCAAACATTTACATCTATATGTGCCTGAGTGTGCGTGTGTGGAAATAAATATTTTAATTACAAATACCCCTACATTAGTCTTGCAAATGAAACCATGTTCAGTTAAGCACGTGAAAACTGTGATGCATGAAATGCCAGACCTCTTGCTGCTTGTGCAACTTAATTTGGACTTCTAGGGTGTCCTGTGTATCTGCTTACTGATAAAGGGGGAATATTTTGAATAGTATGCTCAAATAATTCTTTTTCAATTTTTTTTTTCAGCTGACAGGCACAATGGACTATGAAGTTTTGTGGATGGTGGTAAACAACATGTTTCTTGTGTTCAAAATGCATGAGTTTAATCCTGAACATTGCTTCTAATTTTTATCTTTTTTTTTTTAATGACACCACATAAAATAATAATAAAACTCCTCCCTGTGAGGGTGCTGAGGCCCTGGCACAGGTTGCCCAGAGAAGCTGCAGCTGCCCCATCCCTGGCAGTGTTCAAGGCCAGGTTGGATGGGGCTTGGAGAAACCTGGTCTAGTGGAAGGTGCCCCTGCCTCTGGCAGTGGTTGGAACTGGATGAGCTTTAAGGTCACTTCCAACCCAAACCATTCTATAATGGTGGCTCTATAATAAGTATCTTCTTCAAGAGAAAAGTCAAGAAAAATTTGTATTATTATAGCTGTAAAAGACCTAAATAGCACAAAAAAAAAGAATCCAAACTCTCTACCTCCAGTCCCAGAAATTCTCTTCTCAACTGCAGAAACCCTCCTTGTCAACAAGTGTTCTTGGTCTTCATTACTCTTGAAGTTTTGCTTCAGTCAGCAGCTGATGAAGGCTGCAGCTACAAGAAAAGAAAGGGAAAACATGACCAGCCACTAAGCTGGTCAGTGGCATTGAAGTACCCCATTGTGGTACTTCTTCATCCCCATCCCCATGCATTCTCACACCCTGTACACACCTGTGAAGGTGACCTGGTATCTCGCGAACCCCGCCAGGACAGCTGTGCTGCCTGCAGCTGCTGCCGCACAGCTCCCCACCCTGCTTGCCCTCGGTGGGGTTGGCAGCCAGCTGCGATTTCCTGGGGAACACAAGCAAGTGGAAGGAAATGGCAATTATCAGCTATTCATATGGCAGCAGAACCTGAATGGGATTTCATAGGATGAATAAAAGAACACTTCTCCCACTCAGGAGCCTCTGACGGTTCAAGCAGTGGAGGTTTTAGAGCTACAAGAATTTATTATAGTGGAAAGCTGGAGCTTCAACTTCCCCTGTAGTGTTGGGCTTATTTACCACCACTCATAACACTAAATTCAATCAATTCAGCTGGCTACTCTCTATTTTTGGGGCGCTCCCACATTGTAGCTATCTTAGCCATTGGTGGTAAACTGGGTTTATTCTGGAGTGTAGAAATGTCCAGAACAGGCCAAAGCTTGTTTCCTCTCTGACTGCTTGCTGTTGCATTTTACGCCTTTCGGCTCCAAGTATCAGAGCATCCATTCAGCTTCTAACTAGGATTGCACAATTTAATTCTTCTCCCCTGGGCTATACAGATGACATGCTTCATATAACAGCAGCTTTGAGCATATACATCCTTGTAATATATTTGTAACTGGTGCTTTAGATGATCTGAGTACCAGCACTTCTGATGTTTCAAGCTGCATTTGGGCATTCACCAGGGATCATTTCCCCAGCATGGTGGAAGAGCACTCCGTGAACCTCCTGCCGTGTTTCCCCAGTTGAGACCAATGTTACTGCTGTTACAGATGAGCTATGCTTCTGTTAGCAATAACGACTCAGTACATTATGGTAGATTTTGCTTTTTCTCCAAGTTCTGTTCGGAGACTATCATGTGGCTAATATTACCCTCAGTCAGGTTTGCTGCTCTCCTCTCTGTGGTTTGCATATCATCCTTATCAGGAAAAATTATACAGAAATTTATTGCATCAGGTCAGGGTTAATTGAAGAGAGAATTTATATATTAATCAGTTTGTAACATGGAAAGTGTGGAGGTGTATTAAAGCTAGGTATTGGGACCTCACACTATTATGCAATGGGTCTGACCCATCCGAAGCACTTTCCCACATTCAAAGGTGGTTTCTGTTTAACAACATGATGGGAAAGGCTAAGATAGCACAACCTTCAAATTTCACTGAATATAGTATAACTTCATAAAAATTTATAATCCTCAGATTATTCAGAGGGTATTTATTTCTGTTCCTTGGCCATTGTTACTAAGGTTATGCTTATTATTGCTATTCACTGTTACATGAACTTTATATATTATTTAAATTCACATATGAAAAGCCTGCATATATACAATTTCACATTCTCTCACTTGAAATCTCAAGCAGTTTTGAGCATATTAGGACTTGTGGATGCCTTTATTTTTATTTTTTCTTTTTACCAAGAGTTTTGCTCAGACTTATATATCCGGCATTTTAAAAGACTATAATAAATGAAAGTGCTGATGCAAGCCTACTGCGCTCCTCTATTAAGATAATAATATCTAAGTTTTCCTTTCTTCCTCTTTGAGATACAATCTTTAAATATTTTCCAAATAAAAGTTCCAGCATATCGTCTTTTATGTACTATAGACAGCTAGAACGTTGCTTCTCTAATACTGTTTTTTCCAACAAAATTTGAAATTTGCGAGAGACCAAATTAATGACTTACTTATAAACTTAAAGAAGGAGCGGTAATCTTATTCAGACCAGCTCCTCTAGCATGAACCTAGAACCAATCCCTTATCTTCATAAAACTGGTCACAGAAGACCTGTCCAAAGGCATCTTTGCAGTCTCAGCCTTAAGGGGAGGTCAGAATTAGGGTGGAAAAATTATGCTTCACAGTTTCTGAAGATAGGATGCGATTCAGAGTTCACATGGCTTCTTCTTATCACTGACACAACAAAACACGCAATTATGGTATTGAATGTGCTTTACCCTAGCATGATTTTTCTTTGAGTTAGTTGGCATTTGCACCACTTGCCAAAAGAGAGCACCTGCCATCACCTCTGAAACAAGGGTCCACCCCCAGCAGTGTTTTACTTTGTGAGGAACAGGTAAAAAGGGTAGCTTCAGCTTATTGAAAAGCTTTTCATGGTTAGGAATTTCCAAAACACAGAATACTCTTAAAAATGTTGCAATAAAAATGTATTCCAAGTATAACTAAATGACTTTACAGGAAGATGTGCAAAGGATCTAATTTAGTAACAGCCTGCGCCATAAAATATTAGTCAAATGCGAGCATATCCATTAATACTCTTAAAACAAAGCAATTTCACAGCCTCATTTACTAACTGAAATCTCCTAAGTCTAGTTGGTAATTGTGCTTTTTATTCATCTCAGTAAATTCCACTTAGTGCTTTTTAACAGTTTCTTAGCATAAATGCATTGAATGTTGTTAAATTGGATTAATAGCTTTTATATGAGGTGTATGTTATATATATATTTAACTGAAGATGTTTCAACTCATGACAGGTTTTTTTTTATAATGCACACTTTTATATTTTTACTGATTTTTCCCTTCCCACTGGTAATATTTTTGTAATAGATATTTATGATATATAATTTATAAATAGGGTCTTGCAAGGGTCATGGGGTTACCGTCATCTTTAGCTCACTTTATATTGTTTTGTCATAAAGCAAGACTAGGGGTAGAATATTTTCAGGCAGGTAAGAATAAATAATTAGATATAAAGAACTGGATAAATAATTAGAAGAGTTGTACAGTTGTGCAGTTTATAAATTTACATCTGTCTAATTTTGCTTAAAAAGGATGTAACATGGGAGTATTGTGCACTGGCCACATATTTTAAAATGCTCCTTTGGAGCGCATTTCCAGAATCATAACCAGATGTTTACTTCAGTCTCTCTTGAGTTCCTTCATCCTGTAATTTTTTAAGTGAAATCTTGATAAAGACTGAAATTGTTAAATTGGGTATATACTGCTCAAGCACTTTCAAATGCTATGGTATTCAACAACCTAAGTATGTCACTTGAATTGGTGTGTGTCTGCATGAGATGACTTTTCATCCTGCAATTTATTAACTAATCAGTCAGTACTTGAAAATAGCTGACTGATTAACTGACATCATGAAGCACCATCCTCATTTATCTTTTGTGTCCTGTTACCAGCTTTCCTACTGCTAAAAGACATGATTGGGGCAGAAGTACACAATTGCCTAATTGTGCCTCTTTAAGCCCATTACGAAGCAGCATGAGAAGGCCAACACAGCATCAGGTCTCAGCCCTGGTAAGTAGGGGTTGAACAAATAGCCTTGTAGACAATAAGATGGAGGAAGAGAGTTTCCAATTACAAGTACCCCATGAGGAGGAAGAGGAATACAATAGTTCCTGCTGGCACCAGCTCATGCCTGTCCCAACAATGCATAACTCTCCATGAACTCATGATGCCAGCCCAGACCCTTCCCTCAACAGCATCTCCGGAGCTCTCGTCCTCACAGATCTGCATTACTGGTAAAGGAAGCTCAACAAAGCTGCAGATAGAGGGGAATAGTAACCCAGAAGTGGAAAGCTTAGGGCCTGAATGTAGTTCAACTGTAAATCAAGATAAAAAACTGATGCTGAGAAATACAAGACATAGTCCCAGTAAAAATATCTACATTCATACTTTTATATTTATAAATACTTGCTGTTGTAATTTGAACCATAGTTGGTAGACAAACAGCAAACACAAAAACAGTTTGTGGATGCCACTGGCATCTGTTTGGGTTGATCTTTATCCCTTGTTCTGGCTTCCCCACTTGAAAAAAAGGCTCCTATCCTAGCTTCCATGGTATATTTAACATGTACTCTGAGGCTCTGAAATACCAGCTCTTTTATGAAAAGCCATAATTGTCATAATATTATTTAGGTATATCTCATTCGCTTTTCTAGAATGTATTATGGAAACAAATGTGGCAAAAACTCTTTACAGTGTAAAGTCTGTAATTTGTTGTATCCCTTCAGCTTTTGCAAGTCTTTTTTCATTTCTGAGAATGTGGTGCAACAAATATGTCTGTGCTCTCACATTTCTGCGAGATTCGAACACCCCCTGCAGTTAGGAAAACTTCCTTTATGTTCTGAAATCTGCTGACAAAACTGGAAACTGATCCATTGTTGGGCATAGATTTCTAAGCTCAGGCAATAGCTAGCGTGCAGCTCTAACGTATGATTTCTTCTGCAATAAACAAGACTGCTTTCACCTGATGTCACCAAAGCATATGTCTTTTGTCTTCTTTAATGATCTGTGGCAAAGAGTTGGGCATAGAAAAATGTTCGTTTTCGAGAGACAGGAGGTGTGGTTGATGGAAAGTAGTATCAAGCAAGCTGCAGTGGTCACAGGTGAATTCAGTAGAAGCAGGAGGAGATAGTAAGACGTCATCATGACATTTTCTTCATCAAAAGGAGTCTATATATTCTGATTTCTTCCTTCAAATCAAGCTGGAAGCATCCCAGTAGCTCAGTTCTAGTTTCTGTCTCAATATTGTTGTACAATAAAATGATACTCTTCACTCTTGAGAAATATCACCAGCTTTGTTCCCAGGGTGAATAGTCCCATTCCTGACAACTGCCATGCACTAATAAAAGCTGAGTGATATCTGTGATCCTTTATTTTCTTTCTTTTGAAAGAAAGAAACAATGATTCACTTTTAATCATCCAGCTTTCCATTTCAGAAAACCGTTTCCATCTTTGTTTCAATTCAAAAAGTAGTCTTATTATTTGCATACAGAGCGTATTTTATCATGATGTTTTTATCTGCGAAGTCTGTAACATTTTATTACTGTACTCAGGACAGATGTCAGTGATATATTTCTTTCTTGCATGCAGAAATCCATTATAGGTGGTGAATACACAAAACTGACATCAATTGACATTGAAGACATGGCAAGCTTGATTTTTTGAGTGCAGAATGTCAGCCTATGTTTGAGCTAGTTTTGCTTTTATTTAAATCCCATGAATATTTTTTTCTTTATTTTGTAGCTAATTGCAGAATTTTAACTGCATGGTCAGATCCTGTCTAGCTGAAATCAACATTTAAGAAACAAAGCTGGGGTAAGGCACAGTCCGAGCTCTTCAAACTTCCAACCAAACTTCAGACCTTGCCAATCAGAGGTCAATACGTGCAGGCAGACAGGCAGGGAGACTGAAGGACTGATTGTTGACTACACTGACAGATCTCTTTCATGACTTTTGAAGTGGTTAAGGGAGATTTTATTTTTCTTTAATAACCATAGTGATTAATTTGGAATTCAAAGTATTGTTGGAATACAAAATCATGACCAACAGAAAAATTGAAGTATATTGTTTCTGTCAACTGAGATGTTTTTTTCTTCCACGCTATGTTTGACAGTAGTTTATATCTTTTGCAAAAATGCTGCCAAAAAACTTTTAAGACCTTTCCATTTTTTCTTTGTTGAATGAGCATCATAAGAGTTGGATGAAAGACAGAAACCCTCCCATATGCCCCAAAATCTTTAATTTAGGAAAATTCAAGTTCTGACTCTATTTTTGTATTGTTTACTCTCTTGATCAGGCAATCCTAGCACATTTCAAAATATGATCACCCCAGAACATTAATCAGGATGACTCAAGTTTGGGTGGGTTCATTTATTTTTGTTTATTTTTAGCTATGTGGCCTTATACTGGCAATGTTACAGGTAGCATAAGGGAAAAAAAATTAAATAAAATTCAAAGAGGAAAGTGGAGGAAATTAAAACAATAGCAGCTTCCTCTACTAAGGAGAAAGGGAAGGAAATGTGTTTTTCCTGTTAATAAAATGCTGTTTAATATTTAAGTAAAATCATTTTAATAGAAAGACTGGAAAATCCTGCCTAGTAAGAAACAGATTCTTCTCTACTTCTCAAAACATAACTATTTAACTGTGACATCTAACCCCTCTGTTACTTCACACAATGTTAGTAAAGAGATTGCCACTACTTCTAAGTGTTTTTTTTTAATTAAAAGTTGACACCTTTTTAGTACAAGGCTTTAAAGAAAGGATTGA